GACATTTACGAAATGTGAGGGAAATGGAATAAAGTGTCATGTGAATGGAGCCCTAGAAAGCGAAAGCTTCTCTTCCTTGGAACTCCCTATCCCAGCTTGACCTCCATCTATCTGAGCATGCCATTTTCTTTGAAACAAGAGGCTTCCTCCTGTAGGCAGCCTTGAGTTGTCTTCAGGTTTCTCTGCATGCTAGATGGGTAGCTAGCACCCCCTACTGGCTCACAGGTTTTTTAAACTGCCAACCTGTCCTTATGTCAGGGTGGTTCCACACCTTTGCCCTGTTCCCAGAAAGTTTGCAAGGAGCTTTTTTAAGTCAAGACAAATGCAACAGGGGGCGGTAGCTGTGGGTCTTCCACCAAATATTCTGCTCCTATCAGACTCTCGGTTCCTTGTTGAATATACTGGTGTGGCTAGAATTATGCACCGGGACAAGGCAGATGTAAGGTTTGCAACCCACAATAGTCTATTAGTGCTAATGGGCGAAAGCACATGGGGGCAGAAGCTGGTCCATTATGTCTGTCCACTAGCAACCAGTCCACATGTCCCTACCTGCCTTACTGCTAGCCTAGGGAGTGGTCCTGGTTGTTAGCTTCCTCCTCCGTAGTTGCAGCAGAACATAGCAGGGAGGAGGATGAAGGCAAAACCAGAACAAGTTGGCTCTGGCGCCACCTACTGCTGGGTTCCATGCCTTCCACCCTAACAGGTCCAAGAACCATCAGGAACTACTGTTCATGAGAGATGATGAGAGGGTGCGTAGTTACACCTACATCCCTTCTTACCTGGCAATCTGGGACCAGGAATAAGTCTAGAAAGCAGGGGGGGAAATGGGATCAGGGGGTTTCAGATACTGAGTGTGGGCAGAGGCAACCGCATGGATGAAAGAGATTCCCCCCAACTCAGGCTGCTTATTGAGTACTTTTGACCCAGTGGTGGGGTGCCTGATGCCCTACCAATGTTGCTGGGCTACAATTCCCATAATCCCTGAGCATTGGCCATGCTTGCAGGGGCTTGCATGGGAGTTGTAGTCCAACAAAGACCAGGATGGCCACAGGCTCCCCACCACTCCTTTAACTGGAGATATCAGGGCTGAAGCTAGGACCTTTTTAAGGTAAAGCAGGCACTCTGCCCCCTATTTTGGCTCAGTGGCAAAATCAGCTCTCGGAGTGAGGCACCTCAACAACAGAGGGCTGCATCCAACCAAGTTCTGATCCAAGTAGATTCAGTGAAATAAATGAACCCAAGTTAGCCATTGCAGATAACTGCAACTGACTAACATTGGACACAACCAAGAGCAAGGAAAGATCTGGCATGCTCTCTCTTGTGGCTGGGAAACAGCAGGGGGGGTGTTTCAGCCAGAACTCACTGGAACTTGGTTCCAGCACCTCTCAGGTGGGCACCATTGCCATTATAAGAGAATAAGGGAGGCGTTCCTGGTGAGTTCCGGCACCTCTTTTTCTAGACAAATAGCACTGGGCAACAGTATTTTATCATTTAACAAGCATTAACTGCCAGACAGGTACATACACCCCATGTAGCAAAAATTTTTAGAGAAGTCTTGGAGCCTTAGAATATACATTGCTTGGGAAAGTTTGACTGAAGAGGGGGAGGAGATAGGGAGAGAGAGAGAGAGAGAGAGAGAGAGAGAGAGAGAGAGAGAGAGAGAGAGAGAGAGAGAGAGATTCTGGCCAAGCTCTATTAAGAAGCATGGGCCGCGTTGGCGTAGATAGGAACTCGTATCTGCTCATTAGGCAGCGGATGGGGGGAGGGAATTAATGAAAGCCAATGAAATGAAAATGGCTTTGGGTTTGAGTTTAATAGGATAGAAATAGCCCTGGTATGATAATCCACCTTTCAATGTGACATGGAAGGATGTGGAGGAGGATGAATGAAAGCCCAGCATTCCCAAGTGTGGTCTGGGGGGGGGGTAAAGTGTCCCAGACTCCATGCGGGATTGTGGGCTGCACACAGGGGCCCCCAACATGGAGTCTGTGAGCTAGGGATGGGGGAGAAACCTGATTTAGTTTGCATTTAACTCTGCATTTAACCAATCCCCGCTTTCCGCAACAATATGAGAACCAAAACACAGTCATCCCGCGGAATTGGCACATATCCAGATTTTGCAATGCAGTCCTTCCAACCGAGATGTTCACAAAAATGCATATGCTTGGGGAACGCCAGTGTGGAAATCAAGATGCTTGTGAAAATAACATACAGAAATGTATTGGATATGGGGAAATTGGTTGCAGGCTTGTGTACATTACTCAGAACCACAGACCAAGCTGCAGAAGGGTTTTCATGAGGATTTGAAAACATTGCAAGGTGCTGCAGAAATGTGAAGAGCTGAATTTTAGACGGGGAAATTGTGAAACAGAGAGAACCGAATTTGACATCTCCATCCACTCCTTTAGTTTCAAGGGAATGGTGGGCAAGTTCTGTTACGTCCAATGGAACGCCGTGGAAAACACAACTTAAGCCACTCCAAGGGAAGACACTGGAGCACTCCAAATCATTTGCACATGCACAGAAAATAGTAGATCTAGCTGGAAGGCAACACATGCATTGATCACTGCAATGCATCCATCCATCATTACTGTTATTATTATTATTTAACTGTAAGATTATTGTATATAATCATAAAGGTAAAGGTAAAAGGACCCCTGACCATTAGGTCCAGTCGTGGACGACTCGGGGGTTGCAGCGCTCATCTCACTTTACTGGCCGAGGGAGCCAGCATACAGCTTCCGGGTCATGTGGCCTGCATGACTAAGCCGCTTCTGGCGAACCAGAGCAGCGCATGGAATCGCCGTTTACCTTCCCACCAGAGTGGTACCTATTTATCTACTTGCACTTTGACGTGCTTTTGAACTGCTAGGTTGGCAGGAGCAGGGACCGAGCAACGGGAGCTCACCCTGTCATGGGGATTCGAACCGCCGACCTTCTGATCGGCAAGCCCTGGGCTCTGTGGTTGAGACCACAACACCACCCGTGTCCCTTGTATATAATCATAGACATTTGTATAATCTTAAGAAGAGCTTTCTGACAGTAAGACCTCGGAATGTGGTGGCCTCTCCTTCCTCAGAGATTTTTAAGAGCAGAGGTTGGATGGCCACCTGTGGGGGATGCTTTACCTGAGCTTCCTGCATTGCAGGGGGTTAGACTGGATGACCCTTCTAACTCTGCAAATCTGTGATTATGTAATCTTAGGAGGGGCGTGGCTTTTGAGGAAGACGAGGCATGGCTGTGACTATCATGATAGGACCTTGAATCTGACACTCCGCTACTGCTCCTTTCATCTCAGAAACGTCATGAAGCGATTCCCACTGACTACTCCCGGGCTCCTTCAGCCTATTTCAGGATTCACCCAGACACAGATCAAGTAAAATAGGGCTTCACCCCACACCACATAGCACCAGATGTCTGCATGACTTGACTACTTTGCTTCCTGCTATGAATGTGTGTGTAGAAGTTGGCTGGGTGGGAAAGATATCTGCTTTCCCTCTGAACCATTTGCATCACATCCGTCAAAGCATCCACGCCAAGAGTGGGTCCCAGGCACCAGGCACCTGTCTCAAGAGTGTGAATGTGTGTCCCCTGAGTTTTTATTCCCCATTGCTCATACCTTGACAATCTCTTGAGCAATCTGCCTTGTTTTGTTGACATCCAGGACAATCTTGGCATCTCTCACCACCGAGTAGAGCGTCCGTCCTTTGCACAAGCTGGAAAGGAAGATGGGGAAATCTGGATTAATGTCGGGAATGGGAAACCAAACCCACGGAAATTGCTGTAAGATCGGGACATAGAGGAAACGCCAAAGCACTTAAACGGATAGAAGGATTGCAATTTCTCATCCAGGTAATCAAAATGGTTTGGGACTTGTACACCCCAGGATGCAGCGTGAAGGACATGAATCCAGTTTGGGATATCTGGACCCTAACTTTATGCTTTTCTTAGCTCCTTGTGGATGACAAGGACATCAATGGCTGCTAGCCACAGTGGCTGTCTTCTGCTTCCTCTATCAGAGACAGCCTGTCGCTGGGAATCATAAGTGGAGAGATGTGTCACACTCGGATCCCACTTGCAGGCTCCTCAGTGGGGCATCTGGTTGGCCACTGTGAGAAAAGGACACTGAACCAGATGGACATTGATACCACAAGACGCTTCCTTCATTCTTTGTTAAAAAGAAAAAGGAAAATTGCAAGGACTGGGCTCCGGGAGGAATTCCCATCACAGAGCTACAATTCCCAGTGTGTTCCTCATCCCGGGGAACTGTAGCTCTAGGAGGGGAAATAGGGATCTCCTTAACAAGTCTCAGCACCCTAAATGAACTACAGCCCCCAGAATCCTTTGGGAGAGAGCCACAACTGTTTAAAGTGGTACCACAGTGCTTTAAAGGTATGGTATGAACGTGGCCTGGAATGAGACTTCTTGCTGAAGGAAGGAAAGTGTCCTCCGTACGCCAGACACGAACCGCCAAACTTCTCCCTTTTCCCGTACCTGTTGCCGAGAAATCTATTTGTGGAGTCTTAATTACCAAATGCAGCTGTCGGAGAGTGGGGGGTGGGGAGGGAAAGGAGGGGACACTGAAACCAATTAAAGCCTGTATTGACATTTGAATCATGTAATGGAGCCTGTGGGCGGATTCTGCTGCAACTTTCTCCCCACCAGAGAGGCTGCCTCCCCACTCCAGGCAATCCTGCCCACCTACACACATTGCAGGCGAAGCGAGAGAGGGCAAAGGCAATACCTGGGCTCAGATAATAAGCCAGCCCCCCCACCCAAAATAAAAGCGGCTCCGAGTGGATCGCAGGTGTTAATTTCATCTGGTTCTCTTGCTAATGACAGGAGCGCTGCAGCTTTTAATTGTTGTTCTTCTCCCGCCCCTGCAGACATCTCGCAGCTTCTGCTCCTGCCTCCCCCTCCTCGCGACACCGGAGGCAGGACCTGCCGCTCTTCAGAAGCCCGTAGGAGGACGGTGTGCAGGGGGTGGGGGGGGGAAGGCCGAGGCTCAGTGGCAGAACATCTGCCTCGCATGCAGAAGTCCCGGGATAAATCCCAGTGGTCCACCACTGAGCCATAGCCCTTCATTATACTGAGTCAAACCACTGGGCCACCTAGCTTAGCATGGTCACCACGACAGACCTTCCAACTGTCCCTATTTTCCAGGGACAGTCCTGGATTCACAGAAGCCAGTTTCTGATTTGACCCCAGAAATGTCCCACTTTTTCTTAGGACGTCCCTATTTTCATCGGAGAAATGTTGGAAAGTATGGAGTTATGCAGCCCCTGAGCCCATGAGATTAGTAGCTATACAACCTTCAGAGGACACCTGAAGCCAAGGCAGCTCTGTCTAGGGAAGTTCTTTAATGTGTTATTATGTTTTTTATATATGTTGGAAGCCACCCAGAGTGCCTGGGGCAACCCAATCAGATGGGCAGGGTATAAATAATAAAATTATCATCATCATTATTATGGAATAGAACGTCCCTATTTTCAACAGAGAAATGTTGGAGGGTATGCAATCCCTGGCACCTCCAGTTAGAGACAGGAAGGAGCCCTGTCTGAAACCCCAGGAAGCTGCTGCCAGTCAGGGTAGACAATAATGAGCTAGATGAACCACTGGCCCGACTCAGGTCCCATCTGAATTTAAGCAGTCTCTTGCCACTTTCAACAGCCGCGAGTTCCTTCAAAGAATCTTGGGAAGTGTAGTTTGTTAAGGGCACTGGGAGTTGTCTGGAGGTTCCATTTGCCACGCAGAGCTACAATTTTCAGAGCACAGGCAATGATCAAGCTACATGTATCCAATTGACAAGTGACCGTGCACACAAGCATGGCACTGAACCCAGAAGTGACCCTAAAACGTCACTAAAAGGGCAGAACAGGGAAGGATGCTTTATGTGGGCCCCGTCAACATGCGCAGGGGTCCAGAAAACCCCCGCACAAAATGAGGATTGCCTGTTATCTAATAATTTCTCCCCAGGGAACGGATTTTTCCCTGGAAGCAAATAACTCAGAAATGAGCCCCAAACATGCGCTATATCTCTCTATATTTCTGGAAGCGGCTTTTGCATCATGTGAAAGCTGAGAAATAACCAGTGCTTTTCTTCTAGAAAGAAAGAAAAAGATGTGTGTACTGCAATCCCTTGAGTACCCCCAGGAAAAAAGAACACGGGATATAATGCAGAAATTAGCAGTTCGGGAAATGTCAGGAAACCGCAATAAATGGCAGTGTGAATGCACCCAATATCCAGTTTGGGATCATCTCTGGTTTCCTTTCTGACAAGCAAAACAGGACCCAATAATCCAATAATGCAAAATGTGAATGAGATAGGGCAGAGCTTTCTCCAGGGACACTTTCCCTGCTTATGTTTCCACACCACACTCTAGCACAAGGTCCACTTGGCAAACGAGATCTTTCCTGCCCCGCCCTGCAAGGCCTTCTCTGCATTCCTCATCGTCACGGCCCATCTCACGGGCAATGGGGCAACTGCGAACCCAACTGTGGGGCTGTCCCAGCCCACCCCTCTGAGAGCGTCTGCAAATCAGGTCCACAACGAGGCTTCGGAAGGGCATGCACATCAACTCCAAAGGAAGGCGCGGCGGAAATTAATGAGTCAAGGAATGGAATTAGTCCGTCTGGCCTGGCCTTCCATGAGGAGGTTCAGATCATTGAGCAGATGGTCTGTAATAAAAAATGGCACCAATGCAAACAGGGAGGAGGAGGGAAACCCCCCACCTGTGTTTTCTGAAGTTTCCAGAGGAGCGCTAGCCTTCTACAGGAGTGGGGGAGGAAGTCTTGTGGCACTTGTCAGCACCCATCCGTCTCGAGAGACAATGGAGTGCACCTCCACTGTATTAGAAGCACTGAAGTGACTTCTCCAGGACACAAACCTGGGCAATGTATCTGTGGGTCCTGGACAGCCCAGATGACAAGACCCCACTCTCAGCCTCGCTGATGTGGTCCAAAGGAAAGCAGAGCAATATGTTTGGCACTAGCTTGGCTGCAAGAGTTGCTTGAAGGAGGCGCGCAAGGCGCCATCCAACCGTCTTAGGGACTACACTCTGGATTTGGTCCACATCCAAAAGATTCCTGCATTGCAGGGGGTTAGACTAGATGGCCATCGTGGTCCCTTCCAACTCTACAATTCTGTGATCCAATTCGGGGACGCCAGCCCCCATCTCCTTAGTCTGAGGTCACTCTTGTCGATCTCAGCAGGGAAGAGAATGGGGACAAACCTGGAATCGCCTGTCTCTATCTCCACCTACTGTAAAGGCTCACCCCTCCAACTTCTGCCCTACCAGTTCCCTTGGGCACCAACTACCATTGGTGGCAGCAACAGCTCAGCCTGGGAAGGCAGGCTATCTAGCACTGGATTCATCTTTTCTCTTACAGGACAGGCACCTTTTTCTTTCTTTCTTGTTTTACATTGAAGGGGGGAACAGCAAGGCCTGCTCATCCCATCTGAGTAGAAACCCAAGATTCAGATGTGTCATTACTTGGCCTGCCCATCGTTGCCTCTTGCGCCACCTGCAGTTGAACCTCCTTCTGCCTTACTCGTCTCACCAACCACGGCTGGATCAATACCATTACAGTGGTACCTCGGGTTACATACGCTTCAGGTTACAGACTCCGCTAACCCAGAAATAGTACCTCAGGTTAAGAACTTTGCTTCAGGATGAGAACAGAAATTGTGCTCCGACAGCGTGGTGGTGGCAGGAGGCCCCATTAGCTAAAGTGGTGCTTCAGGTTAAGAACAGTTTCAGGTTAAGAACGGACCTCCAGAACGAATTAAGTACTTAACCCGAGGCACCACTGTACTAAAACAATAAAAACTAAAGTTTGTTGGATCTGGAGACAAAGCGAGGCGAGGCGATTGCTGAGTCACTCTCGCAAGTGCTTTCCATCGGCGGATGAGTAACCTGTTGGGAAACTTTGGTGGCAAATCTTGGGAGGTATGGAAACTCCTTGCTGGAGGAGAAGGGGGAGCCTCTCATACATAACTCTGCTGCCTCTTCTTTTTCTGCTAAGGCACAGCACCTGTTGCTATTGAGCAGAAGCCACCTGCGAGATCTTTTCAAATCCTCGCCGGGTTATTTTCTTACAGTTTCTTTAGCGCTGTAAGAGGCAAAGAAAAGACCTCAAAGGAGACAAGGATTATAGCAACGCCTCTGCTTTGCCCATCCGGGGGTGGGGGGAGTGGGGGTGGGAATACGATGTTTTTCCCGAGGTTCCTATTGACCCGGAGCTCCATCGAGACTCATGTTTAAGAGGCGTAGCAAGTAAAAAAAGAAAGAAAAGAAAAGAAACACAGGCTTCTTTTTTGTGAGATGTGCTGCCTGATTTGCTCTTGAAGTAGGCCCTTCATAAATCAGGTCGTTTACCCAGGCACGCTCCGCTTTATAAATGGAAATTTGCATCTGTTAACCGCAAAGCCAGCTCCGGCAACCTGCGCGAACTATGCCGTGGCTTAGACAAGCACCGCACACAAGGTTCCCGGCACCATTTAATCTGCCAATTAGAAGCACCTGGGCAGATGCGCTCCTTTGTATACGGGTGATCCTCTACCCACAAGGAGTGCTAATATGCCAGAGCAGCTCTTTTGCCCCCTGATTCATTGAATGTGGCACTTCTCTTCCCCCTCCCGCTCCCATAAAAACCTAAGAAGAGTCCAGCTTCCTCTTCTTATCACAGTGGCCAATGAGATGCCTAAAGGAAGCCCACAAGGAGGACCTGAGCACAACAACACTCTCCCCACTTGTGATTCTGAGCAACTGGTATTCAGGGGCATAGAGATGCCATCTTTCAAAAAGTAAAAAGAACCAGGACACCCTGGAAGTTCTTGAGCTTTTTTTAAACAAACCGCAAAGTTCAGAACTTCCCCCAGGACATCAATTCTGCCTTTAAGATCCCAGTAAATCTGGACATAAAAAAGGTAAAAGTAATGGACCACTGGACAGTTAAGTCCAGCCACGTGCTGGGGTTGCGGCGCTCATTTCGCTTTCAGGCGGAGGGAGCAGGTGTTTGTCCACAGACAACTTTCTGAGTCATGTGGCCAGCAGGACTAAACAGCTTCTGGCACAATGGAACACCATGATGGAAACTAGAGCACATGGAAACACCGTTTACCTTCCCACCGCAGCGGTACCTGTTTATCTACTTGCACTGGCGTATTTCAAACTGCTAGGTTGGCAGGAGCTGGGACAGAGCAAGAGGAGCTTACCCTGTCATGAGGATTCAAAGCGCCAATCTTCTGATCAGCAAGCCCAAGAGGCTCAGTGGTTTAGACCACAGCGCCACCCGTGTCCCAGTATGGCAGCCCTCACATAGTAGCCATGGATAGCCTTCATGAATATATCTAATCTTGTTAACAACAACAAAATCCTGACTGCTGGATCCTATCTGGTCCAGTATCCTCTTCTAACAGTGACCACCACACAAGCAGGACCCAAATGCAAGTATCCCACTTGCGATTCCAGTAACTGATATTCAGGGGAATATACTGCCTCCAGCAGTAGAGGTGCCACACTATCTTGCTGTGCTCCCATGCCAACCTGATCCTTGGCTCCTCTGGACAACTCCTGGTGAAGCCAGGGGTGGTGGGCATGCAGGGCCGTCTTTACCTGGGGGTGCAAGGGGTGCGAGGCACCCAGGCGCCAAATTCTGGGGGGTGGCAAATGTATACCTACTGTATGCCGGTCCTTCTCGATTGGTGGCAGTGAAAAGCAATGGAGAAAAAGTCCCCACCCCCCTCCTCCATCGCTCTGTTACTCTGTAGCGTCAAATATTCCCGATGAGTCAGGAAACAAAAGCTCAACAACTTTGCGTTTGCCCCTCCCAAAAAAAGTTCACTAAAAGTTCATTTGGGGGCGGCTTAACTAAATTTGGGGGCTCTGGACAGATCTTTGCACCCCAGCGGTGCATATGTGGGCATGGGACAGCAGGTTAGCTTAACTTGGTCATTTACTCGCCTTCACCTCCAGCCAAAGTTCTGGGCCTGAGCTCTCCAGCTCCAGCCCAGTCCACTGCACCGTGAACCACTGGCCTGAGGAAAGTTAAGCTTTCAAAGCAA